GCTCCATTCAGGGGGGCCTGCAGTGCTGTTTTTGTGTGCCCTGGCTACATTGTGACACAGCAGAGTTAAGTGAGACAGCCTCCTCAACAGGCTGGTCCCCTGCCCGGCAAGAGCCCCTCAGATCTCTGCTGCGTGTCACCCCCTGCCCAGACTGCGGGATGACTCCATAAGCATCCTGATGCCCACTCTGCAGGCTGAGTCACAGCAGTAAAGGACCAAGGCATGTAATCCTGGTCTTCCCAGCCTCACTCCGCCTTCTTCTCTCTTTCTCTTTGCAATGGATGGATGGGAGCATGGAGGCTTGCTTGGCTGCTTGGATGGGTGCTCATCCAAGAGGAAAACTCAGTGATTTGTGCTGACCTGCAAGCCAAGGACAAAGGCGAGGAGGAGAGGCCCTGCCCTGCTGAGGCCACCAAGCCCTTGAGAGCAGTGGTTCCCAGGGCTTTGTTTGCACAGGGCTTAGCAGGCAGGGGCTGGGGCTGCAGCACCTGGTGGGATGTGCTCTAGGTACTTCACTTAGGAAGCAGGATGCCTCTGCTCCTGACAGATGTGGATAAAAACATGGGACAGTGAGGACATGCTGGTCCTGTTGGGGATGTAGGGGCTATGGTGCAGGGCAGGGAGCAGGCTTCTCTGGGGACGAGAAGGGGATGGAGTCCAATATTGCTGAATAAGAGCTAAAAATACCTTTTGGCAAATTTGTCTTTGCTGTTCATGCTGTTTTGAGGAAGTCAGCATTAAATGTTCAGAGTGCAGGAAGGGAAGACTTAGGCTCACATGGGACTTAGTTTGATGTCCTGCTATTGCTACCTCTTTGGCTCCAGTATCTGCTGTGGTGAGAAGCTGCACTTATGGTCAGGAAAGGGCTTGGACACCTTAAGCTGGTTCCCATTGCAGCAGCCTCACAGCAGCTTCCCACCAGCTCCCTGTGCCGTGGCTCTGAATGCTTAGGAGCTCATGCTGATGTTAGCATCTTGGCCCAGGCTGATCCAAGTTTGCCCTGACCTCTACAGCCTTTGAGGGGAAGGAGAGACCAGGAAAGGCACCTTTAACCATGTCCCAGTGCAGCACTGTTGTGTTGTCACAGGGACTTCCTTACCTGTGGTGGCAGCATAAGGTGTAAGGAAACATGCAGGGACCTTCCCTAGAAGCAGGCAGTGGGATCTGAACAGAAAGCTTTGCAAAACCTACCTTTGGTGGAGGCAGGGAATCAGGTGTGTATTTGGGGAGGGGAGTAGCTGTTGCTTGAGAAATCCCCATCTCCTCTGCGCTGCGGAGAGATTTCCTTTTGTAACTGGGAAGTATGCTGCTGCACCGCAAGACTGTGCTTGCTGCAAGTGCTGCTTTTCCTCCCTGCCTGTGCTTTACCTAAAACACTGCACCCAACATCAGCTGCCTCCAGGACCAGCCCTTCACCTTGCAGCACTGGACACATTGCAGCGTGCCCTGCCTGGTTGAGGGTGGAGGCAGAGCATCCCCTGGAGCGAGCATCTGAGACCAAAGTGCAAACCGAGTGCAAGGACGGAGGTATTGCCAGGCCCATGGGTTGCACTGTGCCTGGGAAGAGCAGCCAGTCTCCTGCTCAGCTGAAAGGCTCTTGGGAAAGGCCTTTGGTGAAGGATGATAGGTAGGCACTGTTGATCAAGACTTCAGAGTTGGTAACTAAAGATTCTTTCTTGGTTGTCTAATTGGTATTGCAGTCACAGAATAACCCTGGGGGGGTCTGACCTAAAGTGATGTGATGGCAGGTCACCTCTAGCCTGTTGCCAGATGTTACTGCAGCTGAGGGAGCTGGAAGAGCAGAAGTGCTCTGAACATTTCCTGGGAGCTTTTTCAGTCTCCATGGGGAGCCCCTTGTGCTTACCAACTAGGTGGGAGGTTGCATACCTAAGGATGGTGCTGACTGCTGCTGTACCACTTGACTGGACTGATGGAAGGGCATATGCCACATCTTTCCCATTACTGGGGGTTCTGGCTGGGTTACTGGAGAGGCTAGGAAGGTTTACCTCCAGTCCATCCTCCAGGCTTCGGGGAAAAATATATCTCTGGGACCTGCCTCTGTGAAATGTGGCTTAAATTACCCATAGGCTTGCGAAATTTATCTTCAATATGTAATGGTTTGTATAAATAATGTTTATTATAGGGTTGTGGGCAATGTGAGCATATGAGCCTGGTTTCTTTTAAGAAAGACAACCAGAAAACAGGGCTATAAAACGTGCAGAAATGAGGTAAATAGTTGGGTGTCTGCAGAGGAAAATCATAGTTCCCTGATCTGTTGCAAGTCTTTCAGTACTGTGGTAAAATAATAGGTAGTATTCAGCAAACTTGTGTAACTTGCTTGGATGTTCAGAAAACCTCTGAAATTTCTCACAAAAGACTAGGAAAACTGTCCACTGGAGGCGATGTAGAGTTCTGGATCAAAAACTGGCTGAGGTCCCAAGAAACAAAGCCAAGGAGTGAATGAGCAATTTCACAAGAGCAGAGGGATGAGGTCCTTCACTATTAATGATTCAGAAGAGGTAATCTGCAGCAAGGCACCCAAAAATCTGCCGGTACCCTGGAGTCATTCAGATTTGTCAAAGTGAAGCAACTCCGGAGTGACACCATGTGAAGCGAAGTGGTGTGAGAAGATGACAAGCATGCAGCCAGGTGTATTGGAAGGAATTATTTGCTCTGGAACATGGCTGGCTTTTAATTTACTGTGGCTACTCAGGGCAGCAGGATTGCAGGCTGGTTACAAAGATGCTTTTCCTCAGTACGCAAAGATGCCATCAGAGAAGTAAATTGTGCTCAGCCACATAAGGAGTAGCGCATAAGGAGAGATGCTGAGAGCATCAGGATGCTGTTCAGGCAGTCAAGGTCGTTTCTGTACCCAGGATGTTGTATGTGGTTCTGGTCACCTTTCTGTAGGGTCAGAAGAGAGGATATATTGGGGATATGTGGTGAGAGTGGTTAGAGCTAGAAGACATCTTGTGTCCTGGGAAGGAGAAGGCACTTAGAGTGAGTAGGTCTAGAAAAAGCAAATGCTTTTTTTCTTTGCCTTTTCTCACTATGCAAGGAGAACTGAAGGCTGAGGTGTTGCAGTGGGACCATAGTCTTTTATTCAACATCTGGAACTCATTGCTGCAAAATACTATTTCCAGCCTAAAAGTTTACAAGATTCCCCAAAAGAGGATTGAGAGGTATTTCTCTTTTCAGTAAGTCCATCTAGGCTGTACTTACAGAGGAGTGTAACCATTCATGCTCCAAAATGAGTGACTTTCCTTTGAGTCTTATTCCACCATTTTTTCCCATCCGTCCCCTGGAGCTTCCAAGTTAATTCAGACAAGGTGAATTATCCTCCCTGGCTTCCCAGTTTGTTCCCAACTGTGATATCATGGCTTGGGTTTTTTTCTCCTGCTTTTCTACGCCCTTGTTTTGCTCTTGGCAGCCCTGCTCCAGCTCTGTACCTGTGAATTCTCTCTTAACAGGCTGCTTTGTGGCTTTTCCAGTTTGGCTGCCCCCCTCTCAATGCCTGTACCCAGATGGGCTTTTGCTCCTCGGTCTGCCCTTTGTCATCGATGCTTCAGCTGATTTGCAACTGTGCATCCATACCAGCTAAGCTGGGAGGGATCACTTTGAACCCAAGCTCTCTAGGTCACCGCAGCAAATAGTTTTGTGGTCATTATCCAGCTAGCATTGTGCTGTGATACTGATAAATCTCTGCAGCCAGGCAGGAGATTGCCAGGATATACCGTGAGCTGGAGCTGCACCCTCTCTGCTAATGTCACCATCCAATGCAGAACTTGAAGGGCAGGGCTGGTGGGATGAGAGGCTGAAACCACCACAGGGCAGTGGTGGTGGTAGCTTTCTTATCCTTTGGGCAAGTGATGGCTCTTTTGCCCAGCCCACCATGATGACATTTCTGGGCCAGAAACCCCTGAGCATTGCCCAGAAATGATACTGTGCTATCCAGCCTTTCTGCACTGTTCATAGTAGTAGTGAAGGATTTGGGGTGGTTTGTGCATGCTAGATAAGAGGAATGGCTTAGGGATCAGCAGCCTGAGTAGATCTTCCTGTTATCACTGTTCCTTTTGCAGCTGATGGGATTTTCTTTCCCCTGTTCCACAGAGTGGTTATGTTTCTGCTATGAGTGTGTCCTTTTATGAGACCATCTCAATGATGTTCAATTTGCATTTATCCATTCCTAGCATGGTCTTCTCTGTGTTTCCCATGGAGTTGCTCTGTACAGGAGGAGGATCTCCCCATGTCCAAGCAGTGATGCTGACCTGCATGCCACTGTGGGCCTTGTAACAGTTTGGGGAGGGCACTGAAATAAATAAAATATTTGACCAGCTAAATAGTGGAGCTTAAGCCTCCTCTCTGCCCTGTGTGGTTCCATCTAAATGCATCCAAATCAGAGGATGGAAAGAAACCAAGCAGGGGGTGTGACCAACCCCTGATGGGTACCCTGGGAGCTTGAGGCTGAGGCCCTCAGTAAGCAGAGGGTGAATGATTCAGCCTAATAAAGCTAATGGCTTTATGCAGACAGGCAAAGGAAATTGTGGGATCATGATGCAGCAACTGTCCCATAGCAGTTTTTTTCCATCATTCAGATGTGACTTCATGCTCCCACCACCCCACCCTTTCGTTCTTTCCCGTACCTAAATATTCTCCCTGCTGAGGAGCGGGAGATGAGACACTGTTCTCAGGAAGAAGAGTAGTCTTTGGGGAAAGAGGTGCACCTATATGGCATGAGAGCGGGCAAACAAGGAAGGGAGCTCTGTGACTGTGCATGGTGGGACCACAGCTGCTGAAGAACTTGGGTTCTTCTAGTGCTCCCAGACTCAGCAGACTTCTCCAGATGACCTTGTCCCTGGACACTGGTCCCAGGAAAATCCTGTAGCGCAGAGAAGCCTGAGCTAGTGGACAAGGTTGGCCCCTAATTCCTGCAGGGCTACGTTGTCATCCAGCTGGCACTGGATGGTGCGTCTAACCAACTGTTTCTCTTCTTTCCTCAGAGAAGACGATGAAGCTGTAGAGATGCTTCCCTACGTCATTGCCACCCTGGGCTCAACAGGGGCCACCTGCAAAGCCTCCACATGCAACAACAACAACAGCACCAAGGACTATTGCTACAGTGCGCGCATCCGCAGCACTGTCCTGCAGGGACTGCCCTTCGGCGGGGTGCCCACCGTCCTAGCCCTTGACTTTATGTGCTTTCTTGTAAGTCTGCCTGCTGTTTCTTCAGCAGCTTCTCCCCTAATTAACCAAGAATGGATGACTGTGGTCAGATGGTTAGAATTGAGGGCCCCAAATGCCATCTCTGACTTTGCTGCTGGATAACTTTCTGGCCCTGATCGTGTACCCTAGTCACTGCGGGCTTAGCCGCTATTGACATAACTCCAATGCAACCACACTGAGCCTCATGGAAGGGTGTTGCAGCCCTAAGGAAGTGGGCCAGTCCTGCATCCCAAAACTCCCACTTAGAGTGCCAAATTCCTGCAACTTTACCCACTCAAAAGGCTTTGCTTGTTCCTCCTTAGAAACTGTGGGACCAAAGATGCTGTAGCCATCATTTCAACTCCTAGAGACCTCAGGGCCTTTTGATCCTGTGAGGCTACCTTAGTTACTGCGTGTTGCGTCCTGTACGTTTGCCTCCTACAACTATCCAGATAGTCTGATTTAACAGTCCTGGGGAACTTGTGCTGTCCTACAGTCTCAGTGTGCTGTTAGCTGAGGACTCTCTCCCCTCCCTGTTCCCGTGGCTCTGCATGCAGAGGACAAGGACAGAGTTGGACAATGCCTTTTCTCACAGCTTCTCTTTTGGTCTCTTCCAGGTACTGTTGTTTGTCTTTTCAATTTTGCGTAAAGTTGCTTGGGACTACGGACGCCTGGCCCTGGTGACTGATGCTGACAGGTATGCATGGGAAAGGGGCAGGGAAATAAGGTATGAGTGGTACCCTTCTTTCCCACAAGGCAGAAGAGAGAAATCCCACTGTGTGTGCCTGTGGAGCTGAGGAGGAAAGGCAAACGTGCCAGTTGCATCCCCTGAGCTACTGGAACAGGAAAAAATTCCCTGCTTACTGGCTTTTTTTCTTACAGCATCCTTCTCCCAGCACATGGTCCCCACTGGCTCCATATCACCTATGTCCCTACAATGACAGAAGTGTGCAGGGCCCCTTATAGAAGAACAGCAGATGAAAGGAGGATAGAGGAACAAGAAGTCACAGGAAGGGTGAGGGCTGCCACAGTGAAGGCTTTGTTAAGCCTCTGAAGGTGTCTTTGTGATTCTGCTGCGTGCAGTTCTTGTTAAGAGCACTTGAAAGTGGTATGCTGCATTTCCAAGTGCAGTATTGCTGTGCTGACGTGAGTTTAGCTCGCATCCCAAGTGCTGAGGAATGGGTTTGGATGTGGATCCTTCCCGCCCGGTGCATTTGTGGGCTCCAGTATCTGTCAGCAAAAGGCAGGGCCCACTGTGGATGGCAGCTCCACAGCAGAGTGAGATGCAGTTCTAGTCTTTGCCATCAGCAGCAGGAAGGACAGTGATTATTTTGTTCCAGTGCAGAAATAAGGAACTTTCCTTGATTGAGCTAGAGGGGTTGTGCATGTAGTCCAGCTTTCTCCAGGGGAGAGGTTTGCTGTGCCTGTGGTGCTTTGTGACATGTTGGAGGCAAAGTGTGGTTTCTGAAGGCTGGCTGTGGTAGGTTTTCCTTCATCTTAATCAGCTCCGTGAGCTCATTTTGCCCAAAGGCTCAGATGGGGCTGAGCTCTAGCCACTTTGGTTCCTTTGACAATATAAGGTCAAGTAATATGCTCTTCGGCACTCACTGCACAACAGTGGAAAGAGTAAGAGTAATTTTCTTCCACCACTGAACCAGGAACTCTCCTGGTTTAGATAAGTGGTCCTCAATAGGGTTAGATATGCAGCTGTAGCTGTGTCCCTGTAGCTCCTCTGTCCTTCCTCTCCTGGCCTGGTTGGGGAAATCAGCCTTGCGAGACAGTGCAGGGAAAACGAGGAGAAAGGGATAGCCATATAGGACCTCACATGGCAGAGGGCAGCAGCTTCTCAGGGTTAAGCAATCTGGACCCAGGTGCTGACTGGTAGCTACAGGGGCTGCACAGCTCTGGCCTCCAGTGAGGAGAGAGGGCTAGATTTTCTTGGAGGCAATGCTTGAGCACCTTGGGGGTAAGGGAATGGGAGCAGTGGCTGTAGGCAGAAAGGCAGAGGGATGCCAGCTGTTTGGAGAGGGAGAGCCGATAAGCGCAGGGGGAGGGACAGCATGACTATGGTAAGGGCTGTGGATCAAAAGGACTGGGGTCCCAGGGAGAAGCCCCTGCCGCTTGGCCCATCGATGGGTTAGGATGAGAATTTTTTGAGAGTGGGATGCAAGTGTGTTGGTTGCCTGGATGGGAAGGAGACATGGATGAGGAACTCAGACGGCAGCCAGGCAGTCCAGACAGTCTCTCCTACGCCTCTCAGGAGCTCACTGCGATGTCCACAGTGTGGAGCCAGGCCACCTTCCCAGTGGAGCCAGCTTCCCCTTAGCTGGCAGCAAACCATTCTGCCCCTGGGCCAGTGGGGGCTCTGGATCCGGAGCCACTGGTGGGCTCTGGAAGGAGGATCTTCTCCAGCCTGACCACTGGCAGGTTTCTCTTCTTCAGGATGATATGAAGCCATGTTGGGTGCATAGCTCCCTATGAAAGAGGAAACCCAGCACCTACTCCCATGGTTGTAACCTCTCCCTTTCTGTTTCTGTGCCCCCAGGCGCCGACGCTGGGAGACTGAAAGAGAGGAGCGGGAATAGTATGTTGTTTTTTCAGGGTCTCATTTCTTCTCTCTTGCTCACAACCTCTCTCTCTCCTTTTCTCTTGCAGTTTTCTGTCTTGCTTCTGAACTAATCTAAATGGCTGGGAGTTTGGGCATGGATTTGTACCTCTCGGTGGATTTGTGCTTTTCTCGTTCCCTCCCCTTTGTGTCATCCACTGCCACAGCTGAATGCACCCTGGTTTTCCCCTAGTAGCCCTTAAATGCTCCCTGATGGCAGCAGTACCAATGAGCTCCTAGTCCTGGCCTGGGTAGAGAGTGCCATATTGCACACCCTGCTCTATCTGCCTGTGTCCAACTGTCCTGCCTTATGATGGAAGAAAACAAACCTGATTGCCTGAGCCCACAGCATGCTCAGGTCACCCAGGTGCAGGGGAGGCTCCTTTGCCTGGTCCCTCTTGTGCCAGGCTGCCACAAGGGCTGTTCCCATGCCAGCTGCAAGGGTAGCTGGGTACACAGAGAGGATCTGGCAAGACTTCTCTGTCTTTTTAACCCATGAGGCTCCTGGGACCAGGGTAATTGTTGGCCCTTGTCCCTTGCCACCTATCCCTATGCCCAGCAAGGCAGCACCTTTGATTTTCTCTCTTCCCCTGCAGAATAAACTTCCTGAGAGCATCCTTCAGCACCTTGGCCCGTCATTGCCCATTAAGCCCTGCCACGGACTGTCCCTCCCTGCTTTTATCTCTTCATTGCTGCTTTTATGCCTGAGAAAAGAGCATTGTCCATGCCTTGCTGACTGGCTGGATGGTACATGCTGCAGAGGAGGTGACCAGCTGGCAGTGCAGAGCCTGCAGTGGTTGCTCCAGCCACGCTGATTTGTGTCTGAGGCCAGGGCAGCAAGCTGCAGCCTCACTTCTCACTTGCAATGCAGGGACCTGCTACTGCCTTAAGAGGATACAAGAATGCTCTTATTTTTGTAGGTGTTCCTTGCCCTCGATAGCAGAGCAATTGAAATTGTGAAAACAGAACTGATGGTAGCTGTAGTACATGGCACAGAGGGGACATCTTGCTCATGCTTGAGTGCTTAACTTAGTGGTTGGCCCTGCATCAGGTGTGTCTGGCAACTTTTTACTGCTAACACATTGTGAGGGGAGATGGCAGAGCCATCATGCATTGAGGCTTTTCGGGGGCCCACTTCAGTTATCATCATGAGTGCTTGTCTCTTTCCAGGGGACTACTTCTTCCTGCTCCTCTTCTTCATCTGAGTTTGCTGGAACAATCTGCTGACACACCATACATACCACCCCCAAACCTATTGCTTGAGTTGGTATAGTGTTGGTAGCCAGAAGCTTTCAAAAACCTGTGGAGCTCAGTGAGGAAGCCTCATTCTGGCTGTGCTCCTCCAAGGCTGATGGCACCTTCCCATCCCAGCTGTTCTCCACGGGGGTGCAGTGACAGGTGGTTAGGAACACATGTATGTCACCTGATGCTCCTAGGCCTTGAATGTACATCATTTGTGGGGAAGGGCATCTTCCTCTGATGTTCCCTTTTCATGAGAACCAGCAAGTACCCTTGTCCTGCCACTTGCCAGAGCTTGCAGTAGCCATCGACAGTCTTAAGTGGTGACTCAGTCTGCACTGGGAGGTTGTAGCAAACTACCCGCACCTCTGTGTGTGAGGGAAGTGATCACAGAGCCCTGAAGGGCTTGCCACCCACGCAGTCACCTTCAGCCTCACACTGCAGCAAGCGCTTTCCATGGCATGCCTGGCCTCCCCGCTCAGAGCCTGTGATTCCCTTGGTCTGAGGCTGTTCATACCTCAGACCCTGTACTTCTCCTTCCCTGGGCAGGGTCTGTACCAAACTCAGGACGTCATGCAGGGTCCCACCTTAATCTTGTGGTTTAGGGCAGTCTTGTTTCCACCCACTCACGTTAAAAAGTCTTCATCCAGATGCAGGAGCTCCCTCTTCAGCGTTCCATCCTTGGGAAGGTTTGGCGTCCTCTGTCTTCTCAGCACTGCAGGTCATCATGATTATTGTCTCAGCATCCCCCTGCACGGAGCTGAGTTATCCTGGTCATTTCATAACATTGCACTCCTCTCAGTTGTTCCCCCCAGTGCTGCTTCTGCTCTGCCCTCTGCCTTTTCCGTACAGAGAAGCCAAAAGCACAGAGTGTCATCTTGCTGAGCTCTCCTCAGGGCTGTGCACAGCAGCAATTCACCTTCACTCCGTGTGCCCAGCTACAAGGCCTTTGATTTTAAAAGGCTGAAGGTCTGAGAGCTGGGTTGAAGCTCACTCTGTCCCTCCAGCAGAGCAGGGTGTTGGGCTCCGCAGTCGCAAGGTTGCACACCTCTGTCTGATCTGCACTGCTGTAGTCCCCTGACCTTCAGCTAATCTCCTTTCCCCTCTCTTTTACTTCCATCTAGGGACTCAGCAGGTGCTGCTCTGCTCTGAGGGAGGCCACGTGTCCCATCCTCTTTCCTTCAGCAGATTCACAAGGGTCTCTACTTGTTCTCTTTCCCTTAGTATCTTCTACCTCATATCTAGCAATTGTCTCTCAGCAGCTGCTTCTTGGTGTTCTTGTCCATCTGATCCTCCTTGAGCTTGTACTGATTACAGGGAGACCATGTTTTCATTTGATTTTTTTGCTTTGTTTCTAGCCTCTTCTGGCACCTCTGAGGCACCTCTGAGGTCCCAGCCTGCTGTTGTCATTTTGGGAGTGCTATTTAATTTAGGTCTCTGGACCATTTTCTTGCCTCCTTTGCCAGCTTCCCTCTGCCTCCATTTGTAGCAGGGGCTATTGTCAGCCTTGGATGCTTCTGCTGCAGGTTCTTCATCTAGGTTTCTGCCTGTGCCCACAGTAAAGTGGTCTGGGATATTCACCCCTTTTGCCTTCCTGTCCTGTAGCATGCAGGCATTTACTTCTTGCTGTCTGCCCCACTCCTACTCAAAGGATTTCCAGGCAGGAGGCTCAGCTGAAGCTGTGGAGCAGGTTGTGCTGAGCCTGGCTCCAGGCAGCTGCATTCTTCCTCCTGCACTAAGGGTGAGGAGGACTGGTGTAGCAGGATGCAGCCCACCAGACTCCCACCCTTCCACTTCCTGAAGGCAAGTGAGGCCCTCCAGGACAGGAGCCACTGCCAGTGCTTCTCTGGCCATGCCAGAGCCAGAGGGGCTGCGGCACCCTCTGGTTCTCCCTTCCTCTCCTTTGTCTAAACCCTGTGCTAAACAGACCTCATCTCTCCTCTGTGGCACCCTCTGCCAGCTTCTCCTTGCAGGGGCTGCCACATAACATGGGTGCCTCTCAGAAGGTGCTGAAAAAATAGATCCATGGCCAAGCCCACGGGGTTTGTCAGTCTCCTCATGCCATCTGAGGAGGGATCTCTGTTTACTGATACCTCTGCTCTCTGATCTTGTCTCTCTTCATCTCACCTGGTGCAAACTGATCTGAATTAACCTCTCGTCTTCTGGGTGCTCTTGGTTCCTGGCCAGGCTGCCTCCTCACGTCTTCTAACTTTCTCCCTCGCCTCCCACTTGTCATTTTAGTGTAGCCTCCGCCCTGCATTCTGACAACCATGACCGCTACGAGCGCCTCACCTCCGTCTCCAGCTCTGTGGAATTCGACCAGAGGGACAACGTGAGTAGCAGCAAGAGTCAGACGCTTTACCTTTGAGTGGCCAGGGGCCCACAGCTTGGCTGAACAAAGGGCTCTTCAGAAGAAACACTTTTTGCCCATTCCTAGGCCTTAAGTCCCACACCTTGTAGTGTGTGAGTATGGTGTGCAGCTCAAGGCTACATAACTATGCAGCTTCTAGATGTTTGCTTAAATAAATAGATCCCTGTGACTTAACAGACACCTGTCCAGCCTATAATCTCAGCATTACAAACAATACTTACTTGCCAGCTTCTCCTCACACTGCAGTCTACCTCTGCTGCAACTTTCCTTACTAAAGGGGAGGCACAGTTCAGTAGGATAACAGGGGTGTGATGGATGGGGGGTGAAGCTCCCCTAGGTGTCCTTTGAGGAGCACTGCCTTGGCCCAGCCTGCCTTCCCAGTCCCTGCAGAGCTTCTCTTGTCCAGGATGATGGCTAAAATACTTGTATGGTAAATTTTCTGGGTGTCCCTAGGCAGTGAAGCGCTCCCATGTTAGCCAGGAGTGTATGGGTTGCCTGGGAGGTTGAACTGCCAGTTGGTAGGGGACAGCCACACAGCATAGTCCAACCTGTACTGTGCTCCATGGAGTAGCACTGTCACCTCCTTCACCTTGGCCCATTTGTGGCTCTGCACATATGTGTGCTCATGGTCTGTCCCCTTGAGCCAAGTCAGTGAAGGTGCAAGGACACCAGCCTAGTCACCAGAGCCTTTGAAGGAGGGACCTGGGATAAGGGAACACAGAGTGATGTGAGACTGTCCTGTCTTCTTTTTGCACAGGGTTTCTGCTCCTGGCTAACAGCCATCTTCAGGATAAAGTAAGTGCCCCAGGACCTGCCTGAGGGACCCACATGGGGAAGGAGGGGCATTGTGGGATTGTTGGGTCATCCAGTGCAGTATAGCTGAGTGAAGTCACTGCCCTTCCTGCAGCCCCCTCTCTGAAGAGGACAAGCAAAGATGGGACTAGATGAGGAGTCTTAAAGGCAAAATAAGGTCACACAGTGAATGACAGAAGAGCATCCAGCCCAGGGCTCCTCCACCTCAGTCCCATCTCAGAAACACTGTTCACTGCTCTGCAGAGATTCTCCTCTCCCTGGGACTCCTGCTAGGGGCACTGCTCTCTGGGGAACGGGTATGAGGAGGGGACAGGAGAATGCAGGGAGATGCCCTCAGCATGATGATGCTCAGAAGTAGTCTCCTAAGCACTTCCTGGCTTCAGAGTGCTGTGGGATAGCATCAGCCATCCTATATCTTAGCAGAGAAGACAAGGCCCACCTCAGGTGGGATTTTTGTGTGTCCAGCTACCTGTCCTGGGGAACAGAGGGCAGGACCATGGGGTGTGGGACTGAGTAAGCATTGCACAGGCAGGTTTCTGCCCAGGCTGGTTCAAGGCTGAGTGCTGGGCTCCCTACCCTGGAGCCTAGTTACAGCTCTATAAGGCAGAACCAGGGGTGCTGTGTGGGCTTAAATCAGGAGGGGAGCAGTCTTTTTCCCCAGCACTTGAGGGAATGTAGAAAATTGCTTGACAGCCTTTCTCTCCCTGGCAGGGATGACGAGATCCGGGACAAATGCGGGGTTGATGCAGTGCACTATCTGTCCTTCCAGAGGCACATCATCGGGCTGCTGGTGGTCGTGGGTGTGCTTTCTGTGGGCATCGTGTTACCTGTCAACTTCTCAGGGGACCTGCTAGGTGAGAGCAAAGAGCCTTTAGCTTGGCTGGGGGAGCTGCTTTCAACACCACGTTCCAGACTTCTGGGTAGCAGTGGAGGGCAGGATAGGACTAACACAGACAAACCATGACTGCTGCCTCACTTTGAGTGTAGAGCAGCCACAGGGTAATCCCGGGCAGCTTTGGTTTTGAGGTGTTCTGCAGGTGAGATTCCTGCTGTAGCTCACCACGGTGCTCTGTTCCATTCCGTATAACTGAACGTGCTCGTGTCTGGCTCTTTCTCCCTAGAAAACAACGCCTACAGCTTTGGGAGGACAACAATTGCTAACCTGAATTCTAGGTATGTATAGGCAGGGGTAGGATGGATAACTGGGGCTGTCAAGGGGTGTTTTGTAAAGGTTCACGTGCTGCAGAGCCTCACCTCCTTGAAGGCTGCATTTCTGCCCTTGCTGTGAGGCTACTGTCCCTGCTCCACTTTCTAAGCTGAGCTCCTGGATTATGGTTGTAAGGCATGTGTGTGCTTGTGGCGCCAGTGCCTTCAGGGCCTGACCAGCCACACACAGACTTGTAGTGGCAACCCTGCATTTACCTTTGTGGTCTCCCTTGTAACAGGAATCACCTGCTGTGGTTGCACACCATCTTTGCCTTCCTGTACCTGCTGCTGACAGTGCTCAGCATGCGCCGGCACACCTCCAAGATGCGCTACAAAGAGGATGACTTGGTGAGCAGGATCTGGCCACTCTCTCAGGCACATTTTCCTATGCCCTCTGGTCAAGTCAGGTAGCCTTGGAGAGAGTGCTGAGCACCTCACTTCCCACAGTAATTTGGGACTGTCATGTTTTGGCTGTTCTTTTATTCTGCCTGGCCAAAGGCAAATTGCCTCCAGAGAAGCAGCTCTGACTGCCTGTGGGGAAACAGGAGAGGCCTGCACTGGGTAAATATGTGGAAGGACCCCATTCTTCCTCAAGAGTGCTGCAGTGGCTTTTGCCTTCTTCATTTCTAAAGGGTAGCCCTGTTTCTGTTCAGGCAGCTGCAGTATAAGTCCCTAGCCTCTCAATCTGCAGTACACCAGGATGCAGGATGACTACAGCTAGTGGAAGCATAGGAGAGGGGGAGTCCTGGTTGCCAGAAGTGATGGGGCTGCCCTTTTTCATCACTGACTGAGGTCTTGGGAGGGGGTTTGCTGCAGTCTGGTCTTTTACACCATCCACACCTACCTGCCTCCTTTCTTTCTTTTTTTTTTTTCTTTTCTTTCCTTCCCTTCTTTTCTTACTTTCAGGTTAAGCGAACTCTCTTCATCAATGGGATCTCAAAATACGCTGAGCCAGAGAAGATCAAGAAGCATTTTGAGTGAGTTTCACTGTGTCCCCAAAGACTGCTCCATAACAGGGAGTAGGGTAGTGCTAGTTTTACCTCGAATAGCAATAATAGAGAACTCTAGCCAAAATTGGTGAATACCTTTATTTTGGGCCTCTTGCTGTTATTTTTCTGCTAAATTTTTATCTGAATGTGCGGTATCCTTGGTTTTGTACCTTGGGATATGCCCAGCTATCTCTTGCAGAGCCATAGGGGGTCAGCATGGTAAGCAGTGGACAGGGCATGTCCTGAGATGTGGCCAGGTTCAGAGATGAGATACAGGCAGGAGGCACTCAAGCAGTTCCTATGGGATGTTGTGCTGCTGCCCTGATCACAGTCCCTGTAGAAGGTATATAATTTTAACAAAAAAATTAAGTTCCTCTTCTGTCAGAATCTCAATGAACTCTCAGGGCCATGTTTAGAAGCACCATGGGTAGAAGAGAAGTGCCTTTAACCTTTGTAAACCATTCTGCCTCTTTCTAACCCCAAGCCTGTGAAAGCAGAGAAGGAGTGTAGGGTCAGAGAGGCTCCTTGCTGCTACAGAGCAAAAGTCCAGAGAGGCTCCTTGTGCCAAAGGCCAGAGGATATGGCGTTTGCCCCATGTGTTGCTTCTGCTATAAGGTAGAGAGCCTGCAGGTTCCCCTGCAAACTCTTGGTATGTGTCATGACACTCAGCCCAGGACACTCTTCTTGGGGCAGGAGAGAAGTCCTTGATTTGCTTGAGAGTATGGCCTTTGGAGCCAGGTGTGATGAACTGGTGCTTCTCATCCACAGGGAGGCCTATGCCAACTGCACTGTCCTGGAGGCCCGTCCCTGCTACGATGTGGCCCGGCTGATGTTCCTTGATGCAGAGAGGTAACTTCTAGTTTGGGAAAGAAGGCAGAGTGGGCTAGTGTTGCTGGCTTCCTCACAAGTCTGGTGCCACAGAGCTTTTCTGAGCCTTCCCTCCCTTCTGCTCTCCTGTTTCAGGAAGAAAGCTGAGCGTGGGCGAATCTACTTCACCAACCTGAAGAGCAAGACCAGCCACACAAGCATGATCAACCCCAAGCCCTGCGGCCACCTGTGCTGCTGTGTCATTAGGGGCTGTGAGGAGGTAGGGGAAAGCTGGAGGTATTGGGCAGGTAGAGCACATGGTGGCTTTGGTTGCCCAGATCATCTCCCCTCTGACCTCTGTCCTCCTGCTCAGGTGGAGGCCATCGAGTACTATACCAAACTGGAGGAGAAGCTCAAAGATGATTACAAGCGGGAGAAGGAGAAGGTGAATGAAAAGCCTCTGGGGATGGCCTTTGTCACCTTCCACAACGAGACTATCACAGCCATGTGAGTGCAAAGGGTGCTGCCCTCACCAAGAAGGTGACCTTTCCCAACCGTTGCCTTAAATCAGAAGAATGCCAGCACTAAGGCACCCCCTCAGCCTGTGCCTGCCAGCCATTTGCATCAGCATGTCCTTATTTCTCTTCTTCAGAATCCTCAAAGATTTCAATGCTTGTAAGTGCCAGGGCTGTGCGTGCCGTGGGGAGCCCAGGGCCTCCTCCTGCAGTGAGTCCCTCCATGTCTCCAACTGGACTGTCAGCTATGCCCCTGACCCACAGAACATCTACTGGTGAGCAACTCTGTAGGGCTGACCGGGAGGAGGAAAGCCTTGGGCTGGCACCCCAAGTGCTTTTCAGACAGGCTGGGCTGTGGAATGGTATTCCACCCTGTGCAACCATCCTGATGCCCTCCTTCCCCTTCCCAGGGAACACCTCTCTGTCCAGGGCTTCGTGTGGTGGATCCGCTGCTTCGTGATTAATGTGATCCTCTTCATCCTACTCTTCTTCCTCACCACCCCTGCTATCATCATCACCACTATGGACAAATTCAATGTCACCAAGCCCGTAGAGTACCTCAATGTAAGGACTTTGGAAATGTGTACAGGATGGGTAGCATAGGAACCACCTCAAGGCACAACATCCCCTGCAGGGCTGATAGGCAGAGAAATTGTCAGCATTCCCCGTATGCTGTCGGCCTGACCATGAGGGAGGTGCTGAGCCTGCCCAGGGTGCAGTGGCAGCTGCAGTGCTGGGGACTTGGCATCAGCAAAGGCAGCTGTACCTGTGGCTGGAACAAGAGCTGCAGCACCATGTAACACTGATTTCTTCTCTGCCTTGTTGCAGAATCCAATCATCACCCAGTTCTTCCCCACCCTGCTGCTGTGGTGTTTCTCTGCTCTTCTGCCCACCATTGTATACTACTCTGCCTTCTTTGAAGCACACTGGACCAGGTAAGGGCAGCCAGCACCTGTTTTTAGTCATACCAGCAAGCTACCTGGCTGCTAGACACTTCTCACTGATGTAAAGCTCGTTAGTGCATCCTTCTGCTTGAACTTCTCTTCTGTGATTCTGTCTTCCACACCTGGGGACTGCTGTGGAGAGCTATTCTGCCAGTCTTTAGCTGCTGTTGTGCAGCATGGTTGTCTGAGCAGAGCTTTACATAGGTCTGCAAGAAGAAAAAGCTGGGAAGAGTTGGGGCTGGTCACTGTGAGAAATGCTAGTAGAGAAGGAAGTCTTGGCTCAGGTGAGCAGGCAGGGGTGGCGTGCCTGTACCCATGTGTAAGTCATAGCTTTTCCAAGGGAAAATTGTTTCAACTGCTCCAGCTTCTGGCTACAAGGAAGGTATTCAAAGTGCAGATCACTAGAAATGAGCTGCTTGTGAGGCATATTCCCCACAGGACATGCAATGTAAGCTTTGTTTTCTGACCTCTGTTGCAGACACTGATGGGGAGGTTGTCACCAGCTCTGAGGATTGCAGGTCAAGGGAGATGATTGCACAGCCTGTGAGACAAGGGGGAAGGAACTGGGACTTGGTAACAGATTTCAAACATACTGTAGGGAAAGGGGGCATACTCATGTACCAGTAGTGGACAGGATGGGAATCAGATTAGAGATTGGGAAGTACTGATGAAAATCCCATAGGAGCACAGCTCATGGGGCTGGTGGGGTGACAGTGAAAGGCTAATGGCTTCCTCTCTACCCTCAGGTCTGGAGAGAATAGGACAACCATGCACAAGTGTTACACCTTCCTCATCTTCATGGTCTTGCTGTTGCCGTCGCTGGGCCTGAGCAGGTAGGGGTGCTGGGAAGGCAAATGCAGAGACTTGGAGCATGGGGAGGGTTAAGATGCACCTTTGCTTGTCCTCCTGTATATGCATTACATTCTTTCCTCACTGCACTGGTGCCCTGGCCACCATCCCCTTGGGAAAATGTGTTTGGTTCTGGTTGGGGGCCACAGGCCAGACCATACATGTCTGGGTCTCCAGGACCTTACTGACTCAATCTGCAGATGCAGTGACGTGTGCCATGGTGTTACAAATAGTGCAGCAAAAGTTGGCGTGGCTGGTGGATGCATGTGAAAAGTCCACTCAGGGTCTGCTGGTGAAGGAAGCACTCCCCACCTCTGTGCTCAGTGTGCACTCTGAATTTTGCACAAAGCTAGTGAATTCTCTATTTGAGCCAGAACTTGAGTAGGTTGCACTGCTTGGCTGGGTGGGATAGTGGGTGTGCAGCACTGCTCATCTGTTTGGATGTGAGCCCCAAATTTCCTGCACAGTTTATAGAATTGCTGTGTGGGAAACTGCATCACCTGCCAGCCATTGGTGTGGGCTTGCAGCACTGAACAGGGGCCAAGGAGGGGAACACCAGGAGGAAGAAAAAACTGGGGAATGGATGTGGGACAGGGAGCTCTCACTGTGATAGTTTGTTCCTTACACACTGTGCGTGTAAAGCCCCAGGTCAAGCCACACTCTTCCCTGGCGATTTAGTTACATTTAGACTCCAAGAGATTAGGCTCAACAGAACTCTTGCAGAGCCTTTAGTTATGTAACACCTTGAATTCACATAAAGGGAATACGCTACATGCATTTCCTGAGAAACTTCTTTTAATTTAGCGAGAAAATAGGCATTTTGGCAAAAGGTTTACAGGAGTAGCATACAACCAAGGAGAAGAATTTCACTCAAGCACCCAGCACACGACAACCACAACTTAAGTAAAATACAACCCATTGGTTTCAAGTTGCATTTAACCTTATAACTTAGGCAGGTAAATGCTCTTGGAAGATTTGCATTTTGACCCTTAAAGAGACTGCCCGCCCTTCTGAGGAGTCAGTCCCCCTGCTGTTGCCTCTGGAACTCTGTATTCCACCAGTGCCAGAGGATGGGATGATTTTATATCAAAAAATCAGAATTTAGGAAAATGGGATTTGTTTCTCCTAAGGGATTTTTTTTAATCTCTTGTTGGAGGGTACTGTGTACCTAACCACATTCTTCTGTAGAGTCAGTCACCTGTTCCTTGCATGATTATTGTGCCCAAACAGAGGAGAGAGGAAAATACTGATAGGATCAGGGAAAAGGGATAAAACCACGCAAGTGGGAAGCTTTACATCCCTTTTTGAGTGCTACACTGTTTTGCTTTGTTTTGTTTTCCAGTGTCTGATTTACATAATTGCTGGTGACACGTCCCAAGAGGGAACAAAACAGTTTATGGTCAGAGCTTTCGGTCCTTCTAGAGCAGCTTCCGCACTTGCCATTTACATGTCTGTCTATCGCTGCTTCTGATGGTCCCTCTTTTCTTTTTGCCCTCCTATCCCACAGCTTGGATGTGTTTTTCCGCTGGTTGTTTGACAAAAAGTTCCTCGCTGAAGCCGCCGTGCGATTTGAGTAAGTGGAGTTGAGCAGAAAGACTTTCTTTACAATGGGGAATGGTTCTTGTTGGCACCCGAAGGTACTGGGGCTCCCAGCTGCTACCCTGCAAGGAGGGAGCTCCTCTTGTAGCCTGCTCTTGCTGCACCTCCCCAGGTGTGTGTTCCTGCCGGACAATGGGGCTTTCTTTGTCAACTATGTCATCGCCTCTGCCTTCATCGGGAATGCCATGGATCTGCTGCGCATCCCTGGTTTGCTCATGTACATGATACGCCTCTGCCTGGCCCGCTCGGCGGCCGAGCGGAGGAACGTCAAACGAGTATGTACGGGGCTGAGGGGATGGGGTGTGGCCTGCACCCAGGGATGGGACTGCTGCAGTGGACCCTGATGGGGCTTGCCCAGTGGTGTGTGTAGAACTGGGTGTGTTAAACACACCCACTCAGCTCCCAGGGTCCTGCTGATGGGTCTCCATTCCCTCTTGCAGCACCAAGCCTATGAGTTCCAGTTTGGAGCTGCTTACGCCTGGATGATGTGCGTCTTCACTGTGGTCATGACATACAGCATCACCTGCCCCATTATCGTCCCTTTTGGTAAATGATACCACTCTGCCTCCCTGTGTCAGAGACAGAGTGGAGGCAAGAAGGCTGATGTGGGGGAGATAGTCTCTCTCAATCTAGGAAAGAAGCTGATTCCCCACTCTGCTGGCATCCTTCCCTTTCTCCTAGGGCTCATGTACATGCTGCTTAAGCACCTGGTGGACCGATACAACCTGTACTATGCTTACCTGCCTGCCAAGCTGGACAAGAAGATCCATTCAGGGGCTGTGAATCAGGTAGTGGCAGCCCCCATCCTCTGCCTCTTCTGGCTTCTTTTCTTCTCCACCGTGCGCATAGGTGAGCACTGGGCTGGGATGCCAGCCCTTGGCCTCCTAAAGAGCCACTTCCCTGGCCAGGCTCTGGTCCTGGCAGCCCCCAGCCACGGAGCACAGTCACAATCCCTCTGACACCACCACTTTGGTTTTCCTTTGTCCCAGGCTTCCTGGCCCCCACTTCCATGTTCACCTTTGTGGTCCTCGTGATCACCATTGTGATCTGTCTGTGTCACGTCTGCTTTGGGCACTTCAAATACCTCAGCGCTCACAACTACAAGGTGAGGCAGAATGCTGGGTGTGGGACCCTCCTTGGGAGGGCAGCTCAGCCTTAAAACAGCAGGGGCTCTGAGGGTGTCCCAGCCTACCCTTCAGCAGAGCCTTTCAACACTGGCATCACAGAGGACACAGTCACAAGGCTGTCCCTGCTGCCTGTGTGCTGCTCCTGAGGTGGGACAGCAAGCGTGTTGCCCTGGCAGTCTCTCAGTTTCTCCTTTCCTCTCCAGATTGACCACACAGAGGTGGATGCCATGGACAACAGGCAGAACGGGAGACCTGCTACCAATCTGCCAGCTCCTAAGTCAGCTGTGAGTCACTGTCCCCATCTCCATGCCCTGGCACATTCCTTACCTGGGTTTGGAAAGGGGGAGGTAACTCCCTGTCCAGGTACCTCACTCCTCACTTCTCATTTTTCTGAATCAGCACCTGGATCCTCCCAGTGAAGGTGGGAGGCAAGTGTTGGGCATTGTGCCCCTCACCTGCTCTGGGTGATGAAGTGTAACCCCCCCACACACACCCCTTTCCCACTGCTCCTCAGATGCTGTGCGTTTACTTTCTGCCTCTCTCTCGGCTGTGACAGTGAATCCAGCCGGGTCAGTCTCCCTTCTCATTCTGCATCTTTGCACGCTTGCTCGCCAGCAACGGCCATCACCCACCAGGCTGGTCCTAGTGCCAACACAAAGGTGTCTCCATGGGCATTGCCTTGAAGGCCGTGGAAGTGCTTTGGGGACTCTCCTCTCCCCTGTCCAACTCTCCAAGATCCCAGAGGAGTTTTCTGAACTTTTCCTTGGCTCACTGGCTCATTCCAGCTGCTTCCTTCCATGAGGTTTTTGCAGTTGGGGTCTATACAGAGCTGCAGAGATGGGGTAAAGCAGACCCTCCTGCTTCCTCGGGAGAGCAGGGCTGGGCTAGGCACATGTAATCCAGGCTTCTTCCTAGTGTCCATATATCTAAGGGCAGCGACATATCACCAAAAAGAGAATCCCTATAGGAGACAGGCAGAGCCTCAGAAGAACATTTCTACTGGCAAAAAAGGCAGTACAGTTTTCCATGTGGGCTCCAAAGAGCCGAGCCCAGGCTCCCTGTCCCAGAATGCTGGGGTTTGGCACATCCAGTGTTGCAGGGCCAAGCCAGTCCCATTCTTAACCCCCTCTCCTGGTACATGCCATGGAGTCTGGACCCTTCCTCACCCCCCCAGCATATCACCAAGCTCAGCCTCATGCATGGTGCTTCGTGTGTTGTGCTCTGCTGCCAGGAGAAGCTCCCCAGACTGACCTGTGTTTCTGCTCTCTCCCCACCCCTCTCCTGCCCCATGCCGGACCCTGACAGAAGTACATCGCCCAAGTGCTGCAGGACTCCTCGCCAGAAGGTGAAGCAACAGAGTCAGAGGAGCAGGGATCGGAGCAGGGATCGCAGGATGAGGAGCTCATCAACGCCGATGGCATGAACGACACAGATTTCCAGTCGTGTGAGGACAGCCTGATAGAGAATGAGATCCACCAGTAGGGACCTCGAAGGGTGGGAGGGGAAGGAGGCCCAGGAGCAGGGCAGGCTGTGGGCATGGAGACCTGGGGAGAGGCACCTGAGGGTGCTGGCCACTGCCCTTGTCCGCCTGCCCCCCAGGGACGCTGCCTTTAGTGAGGGCAGGGGCCCTGCTGCGAGCTCTCTATCTCCCTGCCCCTCCACCCCTGTGCCAGCCCAACTGCTCAGCAGGCATGCTCTTTACTAGCTACCTTCTTCAACATGTCCCCGGACCCCAGAATCCTGGGGGCTTGAGAGGAAGGGGAATGAGACCCCCACAGTGCTGCCCTGGACCTGAAAGGCTGGGTGCTTTGTGCGAAGGGGCATAAGGGGAACATTTGGGGTCTTCTTAGCAGGCCACTTTGTCGCCTGTCATCCTGGTGAGAAACACTAATAATTTATTATTGCAGGAAAGTGATAAACAAAAAACTTTAATCAGTGTATTGGAAACCCCACCTAGGGAAGGGGGTGGCTTTTGTTGCACCTTCTCCCTGTGCTTGCGTGTGCCCTTTCTCAACCCCTTGCAGTATCCACTTGGTGGGGCATGCCAGGAGCTGGTCCAGGCATGAGGTTGTTATAGACTTCTCCCTCACCACAGGGACCGTAATAGCCTGGCTTCATGGCCAAGGGTGGCATCATCCCAGGTAAGGGATGCAGGGTTGGCATGAGTTAGGCATCCCCCACAGGATGAGGGGTGCTGAGGGCATTTCTTATGGGCAGCAGGAGGCGCAGGCAGCCTCTCCCCCAGGTCCTGTCCCTCCTTCCCCAGGTGCACAGGCAGGGGATTGCAGCATCATGTTAAATGGCATTTTTCTTTGCACATTTTACTCCTCTTTCAAAGAAATCAACCTGACCCCCATGTGGTACTGCAGCCTCCCTTTGCTGCCCTGTGTCTGCACAGCAGGGTCAGGCTTGGGGTGGAGGGGCTGTGATGGGGGTCTCCTGGGTGCTAGGGAGAGGGGAGAAAGGGTCTCAGACTGCAGACCCTCAACACGCTGTGAGGTCAGCACTGCCTGGTTGTCATAGGGCCCCATAGGCTGCCTTCCCTGAGCTGCTGCAGGGTCTTCCCCCAGCTGAGGTGGTCAAAGAGGGAGGGAGCCCTGGGAAAGCAGCCCTTGGGAGCCCTCTCCAACCAAGACCACCATCTTCAGGAGCACAAAAGCCTCATTGGGCTGTGCTGACTTTCTTCACCTGCCCTGACTGGTGTAGGCTCCCCTGCCATCGCCCAGCCTGAGAGAGGGGGGCTGTTCCTCTCCTACCTCCACCCTTGCCCCCTCCCTGTTGATAGCTTTGTCCCAGAGGCAGGCAGAGAACAGGATGGATGGGAGAGGTGGACTGGAGCCCCTGGCACCTGCAGGGAGGACTGACCCTGTTTAAGGGCTCTTTGTGAGGGCTTTTGTGGTCAGGATCAGTTGCCCTCAATTGCTTCCCCCTTCCCCTTGTGTAAAATGTAAAGGAAAATAATAAATCCCCCTGCTATTTAGCTATATTTATTTCCCTCAACCCTGCCACCATCCTGTTTGGTGCTCATTGCAGACACTATCACCCTCCCTTTGCCTGCCATCTGTGGGTGCTGCACAAGCTCGCTGGGGCAGTTCCCTCCAGGGCTTCATGGGGCTGGGTGAAAGTGGACAGTCATTTACTTTTTCTGTCACCCATGCTGGCCCTGGAGCTCCAAGCACTTTAATAGGCCTGAACAAGTGAAATGTCAGCCCTGCCCACCTCAGCTGCTGGGAAGGGCGGTCACATCCCATGGCTTTTTTCCCTCCTTGCTCCCCACTAGAGGAAGGGAGCCAGACACACAGAGAGCATGTGGGGGCTGTTACAAGGAGGATGTAGCTGACTTTCCTGTATGCCTCCTCTATAAGAATCCCAGGCCCAGAGGAAAGGGGATGGAGGGGAGGAGATGTGGGTCTTCAGTGCATATGGAGGGCAGGCCACCCCAGCTCCCAGGGCTCAACTGGGGCTGGAGCACAGGTGGGTGCGAAGGAGCATGGTGAGAGTCACCCATCCCCTCCAGCTATTGGCTAGGAATGAAATGAGCATGTGAGCTGATTACTCGCGGTCCACTCTCAGGCTGGGGCAGGGGGGACGTTGATCCTGCTTCCCTGTGCTTGCACCCACCTACTGTCCTTGCCTCTGGTCCAGCAGGTGGGCTGGGATGCTCTGGTCTCTGTAGGTACGCTATGGCCCGGGGCTGCCTCTGCGCCTGTCGGGGCTCTGCCCGTGCAGAGCTGTGTGTTCTGAGTGGCACTGTCTGTGTAGAGATGTGTATAATACCCTGTATATATTTGTGTACAAAAGAAAAAAGGAAAAAAAGGAGCTATTGTTCTTGAAGTCTTTTCTTTGTGGAATGGGGGCTGGGACCTGGGAGGAGAGGACCCCACCTGCAGCAGGACTGCAGGAGCATGCCTGGTGCAAAAGGAGTGGGGGATCATGTGTGAGCACAAGCACTGCCCTGCTGCCAAGAATCCAGCCCTGGATCACAGGCATTCCTGGCACAAGTGAGCTTTTCCTCTGGCTTCCGGAGGCATCACTGTGAAAAGCAGGTAGATGGGGAGCTGCATGCACTGAGGCTGGGATGGGGGAAGATGATTTGGGAATGGTGCAGTAGGGGAGTTTTGCTGGTAGCCTCCATAGGAAATGTCAGCCCACCTCTACAGTCCCAGTAGCAAGTTCTGTGTCCACTCCTGCCACATCCATTCAGAAACTTAGATACCTGGTTTGGGTGGACAGCTAAGGCCTTTGGGAAAGGATGAGGGGTGCTAGACCTCTGGAGCGCAGCTTGGCTGGGAGCACTTTCCTGACATGTGATGCTGCTTGTAGGTCAGCCATCCTGAGTGCTGGGCCAACCCCCAGAATGCTCCCTGCTGCTCTCTGTGCAGGCTGGATCCAGCATGCTTCCCAGGCAGTTGCTGCATGCTCATTACATTGTGTACAGTGGCTGTTGCTCGGAGGACAGCACAATGGAGAGGCGAGGCCTGGGGCGGGCTGCTGAGAGATGGACAAGTGACCAGCTCTGTTCCCGCCTTGCTGTGTTCAAACTCCGTGGCTTCCTGTGCCGGTGGCGCAGCATCAGCAGGGGACAAAACATTCTCCTCCTGGCAGCCCACAGCCAAAGGATAGGGAAGAGGCAATGCCTAAGAACAAAGAGAACTGAAGACTGAAAGACAAACTATGCCTGCTGCCAAGTCCCTGCAGCCATTGCTGCAAAGGGAATTTTGAGGGAAGGAAACAATGAAATTGCACAGGTATTTGTGCAGGTGTTTTACGGAAACTGCTCCCAAGCACAGAGGGCAGGATGCAGGACAGCCTTTGTGACAGGATTATGTAGGAGCTGTCTCCTGCTCCAGGAATCAGCTGTGAAAGCAGCTTTGGAGGCCACTGAGGGGTAATAAGGGCAGGAGATAAACAGGAGAATGGGGTCACAACAAGGATGGGGTGACCTGCTCTGTCCTGGGTGGAGCTGAGCAGGCACGGTGGTCAGCGGTGGTCCAGGCCAGACAAAAAGCTGGAAGAACTGTTTGGGCACAAGTCCAAAGCAGGAACAAGCACAGACAATGTGCTTGTTCCCGCTCCAGCCTCTTGCTCCTTGTCTGACAGCACGGTGCTGCCTGCAGCTCCGTGCAGAGCTGGAGGGTGACCCCAGCAGGGAACCCCCTATGTTTCCAGCCTGCAGGCACTGGCACAGCTGCCTTTGGCTGAAGAGGGGAGGGAGCAGCCCCTGTAACAACCCAGAGCAGGGCACCCCAGAGCCTCCTTTACACCAGGGCAGGCAGAATAACCTGCCTGTGACAGGCTCTTCTAGGTAGGGATGGGACAGGGCAGCTCTGGTGGGTGCTGGCCAAGGCCGCAGTGGTACCTTTTGGATGTGGCAGCAGGACCATGCTACAGCCAGTTTTATATGTCCTGGTTGCCCTTCCCGCAGGCAAGGGACACAGCTCCTATACCCGTGTGCAACCTGCTCCCTGCTTAGTAAGGATTTACCCCCTGGAGCAAGGCACAGTGAGTTAGGAAGCAGGTGTTGTGTGAAGCCTGGGCTCCCACAGGCTCAATACCAGCTGCTGCAGTGAGGCTGTATGGGCACGGCCTCCCCAGCTGCAAGCAGGCACCAGGGGAGGAGAAGGAGCCCCATGGTTGCTGGGATCATCTTGTCCAGCCCTGGCAGCAGAAGGATGGCAGCGCAGAGCTTCTTTCCTTAGGATGAGGCTGAGCTGAGCTGGTCATGCCAGGCCAGGCCACGCTAGACATGCTGCGCTGAGCCACACCAGGCCGAGCTGTGCCATGCCATGCCAGAGAAAGCCATGTTGCACCACACAGGGCTGCAGAGTGTTGTGCCAAGCCCTGCTGTGGCCATGCCCACTGGTAACAGCACCACCCAGCATTGCTGCACCATGAGTCACAGAGGGCACGCAGGGGCAGCCCCTCTGCAGGAAGCCCCAGGGCAGGGGGACCTCCCTGCTGGCACCCAGCAACAGGGAGCAGCTGGTGGGGTGGGTACTGGCCATGACTGCCACGGCATGTGCCAGCCATGAGTCCCTGGGCTTGTAAGAGTGAGGTGGTGCAGGCACAGCCTTCCCAGACATAAGGGAAGAAGAAGTGACCCCACAGTGTGTGAAACCCATTGGGACCACCATACTCAGCCACGGCACCAGAAGGTCAATAAGCCCTGGGACAAGGTGCAGTACAGAGCTCACCCAACTAAGCTGAGTTGCCAGCAGTGTGGGGCAGTCACCCCCAAAACCATTCCTACGGGAAAGTTGCTTCCTCTTCTCCTTCCAGGCGCGGTTTCCGTGTGCACCGAACACTTTACTCTGAACAATGGTGGAAGAAGCGGGCCCATCCCGGCGGTACCCTTCCATCCCCGGGAGCTGGGAGAGGGTGACAACAGGCAGAACCGCACCAGCAGCCCCGATAAATCCCCTTCTAGTGTCTGTGAGCTGTCACTGCTCCTTTAATTCCCCCTCCCACCGCCCTCCCGGCTTTGCTCGCACATCCTGCCCACCGAAACTCCACCTTCTGCGGGGCCGTACCGAGCCAGGCTAGGCTGGGCTGGGCTGGGCTGGGCCGGGCCGAAGCGGGCAGGGCGGTGGCGGCGGCAGCGGCGGCAGCTTCCGTAAGTCCATCCCCCCCAACCCCATCCTTACCCTTATCCGACCCCGGCCCGAGGTTTAAGTACCCGGGGCACTCCCCACGGCCGGGCGGGTGGGGCTCCTCCGAACGCCCCGCGGCGGTGGAACCCTGCCCGCCCGGCGACTGGCCTCTCCCCCCTCCCCCGGCTGCTTCCTCTGTTCTCTAAGCTTCTCCAGGCTTGCATATCCCATTAGATAACGCATCCGCAGAGACCCGGTGGCTTCCCAGTCAGGGCGGCGAGTAAACTGGGTACCGCGGCCACCCAGGATGCGCTGCCGACCCCAAAGCCAACGTCACATCTCTTTGAAGGGGTGCGGGAACATAAAGGGAAGCTTGTGGGAAATTAGGATCTTTGTCTTCCGGAGGGCTGGCAAAGGCCTGAGAGCTGCTTGAGCCGCGTGGGACCCTATGGGCGGCAGTGGCTTCTTGCCCCGAGCTGAGTATGCGGCAGAATACTGTGTGTCAGGGCTGGCTTCGAGGAAGGGAACTTCCCACTTCCTCTGATCTGCAAGAGCAGCTGACAAAACAGAGGTCTGCAGAGATTTTTGGCTGGACTTCAGCAGTGATTTTGCCCAGGGGTTTTGCATTATGTGCTAAGGTGTATGAGGTATTGAGACCCTGCAGATACCAGCGTATCTTTCTGCTCCCAACTGGGAGAGATCAGAAGTACCTCCAATACTGGAAAGCATCCTATTGTAGTTGGATGTCACCTGCTGTGGAAAACTGCTCTGGGGGCTTGGCTTGTCTCATCACACCCCTTCCTCCTCCATGGAGGACCTGCAGTGTCCATCCAGCATCATCCTGGGGAGGTGTCAGCAACCAATCCTGTCATTTAAGGCCCCATGTGGTTCCTCTCCCATTCTGGGTTCTGAAATGCTTTTCCTTGCTCTGCGCTTGCGTGACCTCCGTCTGCCGCTGAGCACAGCCTTCCGAGTATTTTGAGCCACAGATCTAAGAATAACTCGTACAGTGCCCGTGTCGGCACACAGCTCCCTACGTCCGCAGCCATGGCCCGTCCTGGTAGGTAGGGTGGGAGAGGGTGCAGGGAGTCTGTCAGGGGCTGCGGGCAGGGGAAGTTCCCTGGCCCTCAGCAGGCTGTGTTGTGAGTGCCGGGGAGGTTGCGAGGTGGGAACTGGAGACAGTGAGGGTGCCTGCACTTGGGTTTCCTCCTCCTGCAGCCATCCCTGGGCTTTGGGCAGCACCTAGTACTAGAGAAGCTATTCCACCAGCTCTGCAGGCAATGAGTGCCTTGCTGCTGGAGAGACTGCCAGGGTGTTTGGCTGCAGAGCAGGAGCTGGAGGGAGGAGCTCCATTGATTTGGGGCCACTGTAGAGGAGAGAAGGGCTGGCGCTGCCTTGGAGAAAGATAGTGGGTTTAGAGCATCCCAGGGCAGGCAGAATGATGGGGAAGACTAGATTTTTTTTCTGAAAAGCTTCTGGCTAGGGCAGTCCCATGAGTTAGCAGCCAGATTTATGCCCTATGCATGTGCCAAGAGCTTTTCACTGTTCCCTGCCTTCCCTTAGCTATCATAGCACTTCAGGACAAGGAAAACCACCTCTTCAGAGCTAGGCTGGGCCCCACTCCCCTGGGATTGGGTGCTAGGGAGGCTGCTGGCCAGTGCTGGCATCTGAGCTGGCTGCTCTGAGTGGGTTGCTGGCTCCAGGGTTATTTACCCAAGGACTGTTCCACTCCCTCACAGGGAGAAACCTCTGAAGTATTCGGCACCAGCCCTGCCAAGCAGGAGCTGAGATGGCTGGGGAGTGTGGCACATTGAGCTGCAGATCCGGGTGGGCTGATGGTGGTGGCACCTTCCCCATGGCCCTGCTGCAGGTGACACTGCTTGCATGGGGGCTTGGACTAGACGGCCCCGGAGGCCCCTTCCATCCTGGGCGGTGCAGTGGGTGGAATGCCGGCTGCTGTCATGGTGCCTGGACAGGGCTGATGGCAGCTGGGCACTGGGAGGGGAGCTGGGTCTTGCCGCCACAGCGGTGGGGCAGGACTGCAGGGCCAGACATGCCTGGCAGCTGTGTCACTGCTGGTTTGAAGCGCCTGGCCGTGAGCTACTGGTTAAACCCCCGGGGAGGAAGGCTAGGGCAGGGACTGGTGCGGCGTGGCGGCTCTGCGGTGTCTGCCCTGCCCCGGTCTCCTGCTGCCGGGGTGCTCCGCTGCATCCCACATCCCTTCCCGGTGTCTCCCAGCAGGCTGCTCCACTGGCCGTCGACGAGCCTTGAATCATCTTGCCTGCGTGTGTGTGTGCCGGGAAGGGCCGTCCCGCCTCTTCCTTCCCTATCCTCCTCCGGCCCCATAGATAGAGCTATCTGCGCCCCGCTGCGCTCCTCCCTAGCCGGCCCTATTGACTCAGTGCTCAGGCAGCTGGGGCGGGTTTCGAAGGAGACGAAGAGGCGCCCGGGGCTGGGAGAAGCTGCGGGCGGCTGCTTACGCCCTCCCGGGTGAGGAGGAGCCGGGACTAGGGAAGGACCCGGAAAGCTGCGCCGGGAGGAGAGGCTGACGGGGGCGGGAAGAGCCTGAAATTCCTCCGGGCTCAGCCTTCTGGGCTCAGCAGCAGGGACGGGACAGGACGGGAGATCCGTGACCTAGCTGCTGGTGGGCTACCTCCTCCCAGCCAGCCCTCAACGCTGCTCTGCTTCCTCGGCGTCCCCTAAAGACAGCAGGACTGTGATGGCCGGGCTGGAGGACAGGGCTCAAAACGGGGCTGCTTTAGGGAATGGGGTCTGGGGAGGTTTCCCTGGTGCGTGTGCCCACCCTGGGGTGCTCTGTGTGCTGCTGGGCTCACTGACCCAAGGCACTGCAGATGGAGAAGGTCCCTGCTGTGAGGCCGAGGGGGAACTGGGAATCCAGCCTTCAAGCCTGGCTCTGTGAGATGGCTGATGTCCCCAGGGGAGTGCAAGGTACCAGGCCCTGCCTCAGCCTGGCCATGCCCATTCTGTTGCAGGGAGTGGAGCTGAAGGCAGTGCTGCCAGTGCCTGGCCATGATGCCCTTTGGAGGGATGGCTGCCCGTCTACAGAGAGACCGCCTGAGAGCCGAGGGGCTTGGTCAGCACAACAACGCCATCAAGTACCTCAACCAGGACTATGAGGCCCTCAAGCAGCAATGCATTGAGAGCGGCACCCTCTTCAGAGATCCCCAGTTCCCCGCTGGCCCCACTGCCCTTGGATTCAAGGAGCTGGGGCCTCATTCCAGCAAGACACGGGGGGTGGAGTGGAAGCGTCCATCAGTAAGTTCTGGGCTTGCTTCTCAGGCTGGGCTGGCATCCCTGCCCTGCATGTCTGCACTGACATGGTGTGCTGATCTGCAGCCTGGCTCTGGCTGGCTCCTCTCAGTGCTCAGAGTGCTTGAAGTGCTGCATAGCTTCCCTTCCCAAGCTCCTGGAGCAATGCCCTGTGGGTGTCTGCTCAGAAAAGCATTGTGCCTAGCAGGCCCAGCTTCCTCTGGACAGCAGACAGTGGGCTCCAAAATAGGTGGGCTCTGTTGTTGCTTCTAGGTGTCATGGCATGGATGTGTCACCCTCAGTGACTGGGGCTTTTGAGAGCATATATCCCCTGGTGCCACAAGTGCAAGGGGAATGTCATTTATTTATCCAGCCTTGTCTTCCCATGGCTACAGCAGATCTTGCCTTGCTTTACCATGATGGCCTTGGAATTGCAGTCAAGCAGCCTTCCCTAGTAGAGGGCATATGGGGTGCCATGGTATATGGCAGGGACCATATATTATTTCTCCCGAGTCAGAGCTGTAACAGGTACCAGCCCTGCTGAAGCCCAGACCCTGCTGAACTCCAGCACCAGCATCTGATCCTGTTCTTCTGCAGGAATTAGTGGATGACCCTCAGTTCATCGTTGGTGGTGCAACCCGGACGGACATCTGCCAGGGGGCTCTGGGTGAGTGTTTAAGCTCTGTCCCTGGACCTTGGTCTGGGAGAGTAGTGAGTGGAGAAGGTTGAATGGCTAGCCCTTTCCATTTAGTGCACTGGAAAATGGAAGATGTGGGACATCCTGTGCCTCCTAGTGGCTCCAGGTTAAGGCTCCACGAAAATGGGTTGATGTCTGCACAGCTTGACCATGCTGAGGTCAGGCAAGATGATGGGTGGATCCATGCCTGACACATGCCAACAACAATGCCAGGAGCTGCCCCAAAGAGCTCCCTGATTTGGTAAATGATGAGGGATGGCAGCTGGATGGCAGTAACAAATTGAGGTGAGGATGTGCTGGTTGTGACAAAGCGGTTGCAAAGCAATGCAGTCTGGCAGAAGAGAATTGAGAGCTATTGAGTACAAGTGATGATTTGTCCACACTCCACGGGTGGACTCCAGGGGTGTCTCTCAAGGCAAGGGCACTAAGACAAGGAGAGAAATGTTAATGGGCTATGTAGGCTGGCAGAGTGGTCATTGGAAACAGATCTTGGTACCACCGAGAGCGTTGTCCTGATTGGGATCACTTGATTGGGAGTATCATATACCTAAGCACACATAGCATGCTGGTTTCAGGGCTGACCTTTTAATGCATACGGTAATTAGGACAAACTTGAGGTGGTAACTGGAGCACATAACAGCCCAGAGCACTGTGGTAGTGTTGAATTGGTCATTAAAAAATCTGACTCCATTTTGTCAAACCACAGCCCAGTTACAGGTTATCCAGGCTCGAGGCTAAAGTGTGAAAGGCTTCAAAGGCAAAAGAGAAATAGGAATCAAGGGAAAGAATTTAAAGCATAGTGCTGGCCTGGAGCAGCACTTGTGGTTAAGAGCACTTAGAAGGAAAAGGGCGGTGGCGTTGCTTGCAATTGAGAAGCTGAGACAGCAGCATTAACCCTCTTGCTTGATAAAATGGCTTTTTAAATGCAAAGTGTAATTCCACTGCAGAATTTGGTGTCTGAGATATGGAGGGCAGTCATATGAATGAGTTCCAGGGGGGTCTAGATATATGGCTGCAGGAAGGGGCTGTTGGTGCTGACTATGTGGTGTTCTGGACACAGGCTCCAGGTCAGGGAAGATTGTTCTATCATGCCTTGAGCTAATACTCTCTGAGGGCAGGATGAGCAAGCCTGCCTCTCTGTGCTCTGTTTGCTGGACCCTCTCTGGTTTTCCCACGTACTTTTTGATCTGGGGAACTCCAAACATTTGCAAGGAGAGCACAACATGGGCTCCTAAACATCCATTGCCTACTCTCCCAGATAGAGAGGTGATGGGTGCTCACACTGGCTTCCTCTCCTTCCCCAGGTGACTGCTGGCTGCTGGCTGCCATTGGCTCCCTCACGCTCAATGAGGAGCTTCTGCACCGCGTGGTGCCCCACGGACAGAGTTTCCAGGAGGACTATGCTGGTATCTTCCACTTCCAGGTGGGCTGGGGGCTTCTGGCCCTCCACAGCTGGTGGGCTGGGGTGGAAGGGAGGGTGGTGAGTTGAGGGCATCCCTCTGGGATAGGGATGAGCAAGCCATGTGATGCTCCGAGCTCACCCCACTCTCTCCTCACCCTCTAGATCTGGCAATTTGGTGAGTGGGTGGATGTGGTGGTGGATGACCAACTGCCAACCAAGGATGGGGAGCTCCTGTTTGTCCACTCAGCGGAGTGCACTGAGTTCTGGAGTGCTCTGCTGGAGAAGGCCTACGCCAAGTGGGTACCCCTGTGGTGGGCATGTGGGCAGGTGGGGGACAGGGCACCTCAATGTGCAGGGCAGAGGGAAGGGAGTCTCTTCTATTGCTGGCCCTGCTTGTGCTGGGTGCCTAGGGAGCAGCAGTGTGCTACCTCCTTGTCACGTCATATGCCCCTGTCACCGCTCAGGCTGAATGGCTGCTACGAGTCACTCTCGGGGGGCAGCACCACCGAAGGCTTCGAGGACTTCACGGGCGGCGTGGCAGAGATGTACGACCTGAAACGACCGCCACGCAACATGGGCCACATCATCCGCAAGGCGCTGGAGAGGGGGTCCCTGCTGGGCTGCTCCATCGACGTAAGTGGTGCACTGAGACGAGCTGGGGCTCTGCCACCGCAGTGCCCAAAGTGAGGCCTCACAGCCCACGGTTGTATCAGCAGTCCCCTCGCTGGGAGGTTACTTCTTCCCCGTCTTAGCAGAGCACCCTTTCCAGAGCCAGTATGGCAGCCCTGGGGCACAGCATGTGGTGCTGCAGCCCGGTTGCTGTGAATGGGCTCCTTGAGTGGTTCCCTGATGGATCTTTAGGATCCTCTGGCAGGGAAACTTCTTTAAATTGTCCTCAGCCAGAAGTCCTTGAGCACAGGGAGCTGCTACCTGCTACTTCTCTTTGCAAGGGGAATTCTCCACACAGTGGAGGGAAGGGGTAGGGATAGGACTACATTATTTAATCGTGTTGACTTGAGCTTGCACATTCTCCTCAGATCACAAGCGCCTTTGATATGGAAGCAGTGACCTTCAAGAAGCTGGTGAAGGGCCATGCCTATTCTGTCACAGCCTTCAGAGACGTGAGTTAGCTAGATTAGACTTTAATAGTGTTAACATAGCCTGGACAGTGGAATGGGTTCAACCTCCTGTGTCTGGTGTCTGGCAGGTGAACTACCGGGGTCAGCAGGAACAACTCATCCGCATCAGGAATCCCTGGGGTCAGGTGGAGTGGACTGGAGCCTGGAGTGATGGGTAAGCAGGACAGAAGGGGTGCCAATCTTCCATTGGCAGGCCAGCAAGCCCTGTGCACAGAGCAATTGAGCGCATGGCACTGCTGAGGGGAAGTTGGCAGCGTGCAGTACCCTTCACATTGGAAAGGCAAGAAGTTACGGGTCAGCTCCAAAGTGCTCTCAATTCACCTTCAGGAGTCCTCATCTAATTGTCTCTCTCCTGCTATTCCAGCTCCTCTGAATGGGACAACATTGACCCTGGTGAAAGGGAAGAGCTGCAGCTGAAGATGGAGGATGGAGAGTTCTGGTGAGTGCTGGGGCAAAGTGCTGCCTATTTCAGCAGCCATCGGAGCTGGGAAGAGATCCTGCGGTCATGCTTCACCTGAAGCACATGACATGCCTTTATGAGCTGGCTTTCCAGCACTGGAGAGCTTGCTAGTGTTTTCTCATCTGATCTAGTTAATAATTTTCCTCCTTTCAAGGAAATTCAGCCCAACTAAATGCAAAATAAACATCTAGGAAGGGTAAACATCCCTTCTTTCCCAAACCCAGCAGAAGGCTTTAAATAAGCTATCACTGTTTAGGGTAAAAGATCTTACTATCACTTAATTCTCCCAAAATCTTGGCTGGGTCCAGGGCTGCTTGTGCTGTCCTCCCTCCCTACAGCAGTGCCCTGGCCTCATCCCCTACCTGCCTCCTGCAGGATGTCTTTCCGGGACTTCATGAGGGAGTTCTCCAGGCTGGAGATCTGCAACCTGACCCCCGATGCCCTCACCAAGGACGAGCTCAGCAGGTGGCACACACAGGTGTTCGAGGGCACGTGGCGCCGGGGAAGCACTGCTGGGGGCTGCAGGAATCACCCAGGTACCTCTGGCCTCCACGTCTCTGCTCTTGGCAGCGTGATGAAGCCAAGTGTCTCATCCACACATCCTCTTCCTGTCAGCCACATTCTGGATCAACCCCCAGTTCAAGATCAAGTTGCTGGAAGAAGATGATGACCCTGGGGATGATGAGGTGGCCTGCAGCTTCCTGGTGGCTCTGATGCAGAAGCACCGGCGGCGGGAGCGGCGGGTGGGAGGTGACATGCACACCATCGGCTTTGCTGTCTATGAGGTAACCCCTGCCAGTCCTGATGCCACTTCCCTGGGACAGGCTCAGCCCTGCCAGTCCCACCTCAACCCCAGTCCTCAAGGAAACCTTTTCCACCTGCCTTGACCAGTCTATGGGTTAATATTCCCTATCCTGTGCTCCCTGCGGCTGTAAGGGCTGGGGCACATACTGGGATTCTGATTTTTTCCTTCTTTTCTCTCCTCTCTGCAGGTTCCTGAGGAGGTATGTCCTGAGCTGCTGGAGCCTACCCCCTCTTGGAGGGGACCCCAAGAGTGGACAGGAATGGGTGGATGCACCCACTGTCATGGGCAGTGGCTAGGGTGCTAGTGGGTGCTGGGCACCTCCATGTGGGAGGGAGGGATGGCTCCTACTGGGATGGGCAGGGCAGGGATGTCCTGCCTGACAGGGGCTGGCATTGGTCCCACCGCTCCCCATGAGTGCTCCCCATTGTGGGGCTGTGGTCCACATGCGCATTCCTTCCCCTAGGCCCAGGGCACCCAGAACGTGCACTTGAAGAAGGACTTCTTCCTGCGAAACCAGTCACGGGCACGCTCTGAGACCTTCATCAACCTGCGGGAGGTGAGCAACCAGATCCGTCTGCCCCCCGGCGAGTACATCGTCGTGCCCTCCACCTTCGAGCCACACAAGGAGGCCGACTTTGTCCTGCGGGTCTTCACCGAGAAGCAGTCTGACACAGCGTGAGTCCCTGCCTGGGAGGGGACACCCTGTGTCTGGGAGGGGGGGGATGTTTCCCCACTGCAAGCAGCCTGCTGGCTGCGGACCCTGCTCATCGCTTTGTTTTTCTCCTTTCTGCCCCAGGGAGCTGGATGAGGAGATCTCAGCAGACCTGGCAGATGAGGTAGGAGCTGCCACTTTGGTTCGTCTGGTTCTGAGGCTCTGGGGCTTGGGAGGGGGAGCTGCAGGCAGGCGGTGGCTGTCTGAGTTTGGGATATCATTGTGGCTAGAGAGGGGCTGGCAGGGTCAGGGCAACAGGGATGTGAGGATTAACAAAGATGAGAAGAACAAGGAAGAGCTTCCTTTTTCCAGTTGGGGTTTACTGAGCTTGGGAGGCAGGGCAGAGCCTGGGTTTGACCACTAACCTCTTCCTTCTGGCCTGTGTCACCCCAGGAGGAAATAACTGAGGACGACATAGAAGATGGCTTCAAGAACATGTTCCAGCAGCTGGCAGGGGAGGTGGGTATGGCTGTGCCAAGCTTTCGGAGGCCCTGGCCTGGGGAGGGGATGAGATGGGAGTTCCAGCCCAGTCCACGGTCACTCAGTCCCATCCTGTAGACAGGTCCATTTCTGCCACAGCTTAGCCCAGCTGCCCCCAGGGGTGGTGTGACAGGGGCAGATTTGGGGAAGAGGCATCCAGCTGCGACCCAAACTCTTCTGGGCATGCAAGAAATGTAATTACACCTTCATGTTTTGTGATTAAGGCAGAGATGTTTAGGTGGGAGGGGGGGAATGGCCACAAGTGGGGTGGAGAGCAAGCAAGAGGTGATGCTAATTCTGCTTCTGTTACAGGACATGGAAATCAGCGTCTTTGAGCTCCGGACTATTCTGAACAGAGTCATTGCTAGACGTAAGCATTGCCCTTCCCACCCCTTGCTCCCTGTGCCCTGGGCCTGCTCAGCAGGTAGGGTTTTGGTTCATGTGCTCAACCTCCTCCTTCCTCCTCAGACAAAGACCTGAAGACAGATGGGTTCAGTGTGGACTCCTGCCGCAACATGGTCAACCTGATGGATGTATTCTCTTGGTGCTGTGGGCAGGGGCCAACTTCTGTGGTGCTCAGCCTGCCAGCAGCAAGTCTTCTCTGTGGGAGCTGAGGCTTGGCTCTCCAGCCATGCTGAGGCTGTTCAACGGGGGGAAGACAGGAAAGGGTCCTTATGGCTTCAGGGCCACCACACCACCCCTTGGCTTTAGCAGCAGGATTTTTTGGAAAAAAAAAAAGGGCCATGAGTTCCCCTGCTTGTTTGGGTCCTGGCTCTGCCACCAGAAGCCCAACCCAGTCCCACTCATGCTTTCTACTTTCCCTGCCAGGAGGAAGCTCCCTGTGCTTCCCTTCACACGGGCTCCCCAGCCTGACATGTTATCATGCCACCCAGCCTTTGAGGCACTCATGGAAGGGAATGAGGACTCTTGGGCTTCTTTCCCCTAAACCATCCTGTCCAGCTGTTGAGGAAGAGAGATGTAAAGTGACAGGAGCCATGGCCTGTGTCATGCTTGCACAAGGACATGCAGCTGAGGGTCAGGCAAGGACAGAGGAGCCTCCAAGCCCTTCTCCCGCCTGGCCCTACAACAGCCCTTTTTGCTGCAGGCCAACCCAGTTTTGCTCCGAGGACAGCACAGTGATGTGCTTCCTATAGCAGCAGCACAGTTGCTCCCAGGGAGTGGTATGACAGCTAGTTCAAGCATTGCCCTTTCCCTGTTGGGTTGCAGGCTCTGATCTTGCCAGTGCTGCAGGACAGAGAGGGGAACTTGGGGGGAAAACTGGGCAGGCCAAGTGTGGCCAGGCTTTTCTTGCCTCAAGTGGCTGGAATCTGATGGCTTTGTCTTTGCACCGCTCCCTTTGCTGGCTGCTTTCTCCTTGACCCTCTGATCCCCAGAAAGATGGCAGTGCCCGCCTAGGGCTGGTGGAATTCCAGATCCTGTGGAACAAGATCCGGAGCTGGCTGGTGAGAAGGAGAGGGGGCATGGTGCACTGCACAGGGGTAGCTCCCCTCCTGGGGCAGCAGGGTGAGGGGACAGCCAGGCTGGAGGCCACAGGAGAGCCTGCCCTTCATGTCCTCTGTGATACTTTTGCAGACGATCTTCCGCCAGCACGACCTGGATAAGTCTGGCACCATGAGCTCCTATGAGATGCGCATGGCTCTGGAGTCTGCGGGTAGGTCTGGGGAAGGATGGGGCTGGGATGAGGGCTGAGTAAGGGGCTCCTGCTGTCAGAGTCCTGTCCCAAGTAACTGGAGAAGAGTGTAACCAGCCTATACTGCATGCTTGGAACCAACCTGTTATAGTGAGATGTGGCCCATCTATGCACCAGACTCTCTCCATCCCAGCTGTGCCAAGTGCTGGAGCCTCAGAGTTAGGGATGCATGCAAGGTGGTCCCAGCCTCTGTCCTCCTCTGACCTGCAGAATCCCATCCTGGCGAAGCAGAGGCCTGGGGTGGATCAGTGAGCTAACCAGTCATATGGCTGCAGGGGGAGCATCCCCTCTTCCTGTTGAGGCTGGACATGGTGCCTTTCCTTGGGTGGGTTGGTGGACCCTTTGTGTGGGTGCATGGACTTTGACAATTACACCCTCCTCTCCTGCTGGGGTCCTGACTTCTCTCTGCCTTGCAGGTTTCAAGCTGAACAACAAGCTGCATCAGGTGGTGGTGGCCCGCTATGCAGATGATAACATGGGCGTGGATTTTGACAACTTTGTCTGCTGCCTTGTGAAGCTGGAGGCCATGTTCAGTGAGTGATGGCCCTGGGGCAGGGAGGGCAGGAACAGAGGGATGTGTTGCTCACCTTGCTCTTGTGTCCCTGCAGGGTTCTTCCGCAGTATGGACCCTGACGGCACTGGGACCGCTGTCATGAACCTCGCTGAGGTGAGAACTCAGCCCAGTGGAAGGTGGGGTGGGAAACAAGGGGACAAGGCATTAGGGTGAATGGGGTACCTGGGGTGGGTGGTAGAAAACCCTCCAGCCCCCTGGGTAGGGCAAGAACCCATAAAAGATCAAGATAAGAAAAGGGGATTGCTGCAGGCCCTATGTTTCTTGGAGAGCTGTTAAAGCTGGCACTTGAGGGCATGCCAAAAATGCACCAGACCCTGCTTATCCCTTCTCCCTCTCCTTCCCAGTGGCTGCTGCTGACAATGTGTGGCTAGGAGCCATGACAGACCTGCTGCAGCTGGGACACCCCAACGGGCCAGGCCCCCTCCAAGTGCCTCCCCTTGGATCTGTGGACACCGGATACTCTTCCCTTTGCTCCATTCCATGCTGAGCCACCAGCCCTGCCTCCCAGGAAGCCTCACACCACCTTCTCCAGTGGACCAGGGGTCAAGGCAGGCAGGGGATTCCCTTCTCCTCTTCTGGGCTGGGCTTCTTTCCACTCCCCCCTCCTCTCTCCCACCCCAGAACAGGAGGAGTGCAAGCATCGTGGTACCTGTGAATCCTTGCGCAATAGCAGGCTGGGGGCCAGCTTCAGAGCAGGGAGAGGCAGGAATTGCACGGAGATGAGGGGGAGGACACTCATATTGCTTGCTCTAGTGCTGTCCCATGCTCTCTGGCACACATTGTCTATCCCTGCACCCACACTTGGGAGCATCAGCAGATACTGCCTTGCTCAGGCAGCAGGTTCCTGGGGGAGCCATCATGGCCTTCTGGGAGGAGGAATGGCCATACTCTATTTCTTGAAGCCCTTGCACTGTACTTATCACCACTAAGCGCGACCAAAGCGTGGAGCCCACAGGCTCTTTCTGCGTGGCCTTCAACACATCCCTCCCACCTCCATGCTCCTGCCCATGCCCACCACTGGATCAAATCCTACAACTCAAGCACTGAATGTTTTGGGGCCCCCTCACCATACGAACACATGCCACCTTGTAGTGCCGCAGCAGAAGCTCCTCTTTTCCACATGGTTACAGCAGCCTGGCCTCCCTTCCCATCCCTGGGAGCTCCTGGGACATCTGCTACCCTTGGTCATGGCCCACAGCAGGGCTGGGGGGCACAGCACCCAAGAGGAAATGCCTTCCTCCAGAGAGGAGGGGTGGTGGTTTGGGGGGGGGGCATCTTCTTCTGCACACAGTTGGGTTTTTTCTCCCAATCCATCATCGTCCCACACTGTTACACTCTCCTCTTCCCTTGGGCTCCTTTGCCAAGTGCGGGTGGACTCCAGTGCCAACATATTTGCACTTCTCTGTGCTCCTCACTCCCCTCACCTTCTGGGGCAATGGGGTGGCTCCAGCTTGGTGGTGGGCAAGGTGCCCTGTAGAGGCAGGCAGGCAGTTATAGCTTCCCCAGACCCCTGTTGTCACTGGAGGATGCGCCTGCAGCAATAACTACTGCTGCCTGCCCGGCAGCTCTGCTTCGTCACCCCGCTCACTGTGTACTCCAGAAATAAACAGATCTGTTAGATGTGTGGTCCAGGCAGTGACTTGGAGGTCACGTCCTCCCTTTGCTCACCATGCTCTGGGCTAGGGGGGATGAGATGCAGAGCCAAGCCCAGGTCATGCTGCTTGCCCAGCCTGGGGCACAGGTGGAGGAGCACCGCCAGATGTGGGTCTTGCTGTGGGGATGGAGGGGATCCATATCTCCTAGGACTTTTCTAAAGTCACCTCTTCCTTTGCTCGAGTATCTTAACACTGACACATGGGGCACCACCATGTAAGAGGGATGGAAGGGAGCACAGCTCTTAAAGGAAAGTGTCTTGGGGAGGCTGAGGAGGGGAAAGAGGATCTACTTGGATAGGATGGAGTTAACCATGGATCTGGGAATGGAGGGCAGCCAGGAATTCTGGCCCCTGGAAAAGGACTGAAAGAGGTAATGTAACCCTGGGTAGAGTCTGTGGGAGGTGGATGTTTTCCCCTGCTTCCTTTGAGGCCATGCCAGTTATAGTTGGAAGCAAAAGCCTTCCACAAAAATGACAATGGAGTGCCGTGGGGTGAGACTTTTCATAGCATGGCTCAGAGCAGGACTTGTCAGTGTGTCTTGCCCCTTGCTCACACCCCAGAAGGGCATCGAAGCCCAGATGGCCCCAGAGGTGCTCAGCACTTGGAAGAGGAGTGACCTTGCATACCTTATCCATCCCAACATCAATATCCCTTACATAGGTGCCCTTTGGACCAGCCCAGCTCTCTGGGACCAGTCTCCCCACTGCATAGCAGCACCCAGCCCTGGGACAAGCCAACCTGGCTCAGAGCACAGATGGCAGAGGTGTGACAGCAGGAAGAAACGACCCCTCAGCTGCCCCCCAGGGCTGCCCTCTCCTCCAGAGGCTCTCCAGGGCTGGATAGAGGTGGGCTACTTGCACTTGTCTCTTGACTACCTGTGAGCTGAGCTGCCCCTTGTGGGGTGGGAGTACCATAGGGCTTACCAGCCCAGCCTTCCTGCTCCTCCATGCAGCCCCAAAGCCCCTGTGAAACAAGGGCTCAGGTGGGGATGGAGCACAGGGGCAGGCATACAGAGCTGTCACTGCTGTCCCAGCTGCAGGGCCTTGTCACACGCACACAGGCCCCATTGTAGGGCATGGTGACATCCTGGCTTTGGGATGACAAGTGCCCCTGGCATAGCCTTACCAGAAATCCCCTCCCTCCCTCTGGGTGCCAGCTGGCAGATCCCTTCCCTTGCAGCCCGGCATCTGGCAGGCCCAGGATCGCAGGGGGGTGGCAGGCAGGGGGGGCTTCCTCAGCTGCCAGCTAATGCCGCAAGAAGTGGCCTGGCTCATCCTCCTCCTTGCAAATGGGACAAGGAGGATGCCCAGCAGAGTCCTTAAATGCTGGTCTGAGGTGAGAAGCAAGGGGGCAAGATGTGACCAAAACTGCTCTTAGCTTTGGGTTTGTCCTGTGACGGCCCCTAGCCAGTGAGAGCCAGCCCAGTCCGCTCCTGCCTTTCCCACACGTATCCCATAGATCTGCTTTGGGTGGGAGTGCATAAGGTGGGCTGGCAGCACCCATGGGTGCACAGCACCACTGCTCCGGCTCCCCAACATCGCAGTCTTTTCTGCACCCCATTCCTCTGCCTCCCACAGCCCAGAGCTGCCTGCTCATCCTGGGGTTTCCCCTTCTCCCACCAGCTGCTCATGTCCATCCCCCAGGCATGGAAGGGGGGCCAGGACCACAGCCCATCCCCACCTGCCCCCACCAGCTGCCCTGGCAGCTGGGCTCTGGCCCCGTCTCCCCCTTGGCTATGCTTCACTCTGCGCTGGGCCCACGGCTGCGGGAATGTCATTCCCGTCGGCACAAGGGGCCTTTGTGCAAGTGGAGACAGGGTGTGGGGGCCCAGCCCAGCATCCCAAGCCAGGGCTGAGAAGAGCCACAGCTGAGGGCATGCGGGTGGGCAGCAGCTGACACCAGCATGGCCCCACAGCTCCCACCAGGCTCAGTGGCGTGTCCACTACTGCAAGGGCTGTCAGGGAGGAAAGCCCTCTCCCCATCCTCTTTGTCCCTCTGACACCAGCAGCATCCTGCAGCCACCACCAGCCCAGGAAGCAGCACCAACACCAGTACAGAGCTGGAATCACCTTAGCAAGCCTCGGCACCTGTGCCAAAGGATGCTATGGGCTCAGACACCGTACAGGGGGATTGGGAGGACTCGGGCAGGTGGCAGGGGCCAGGAGTACCAGGCAGCAGCTGCTGGATTCGGTCTTTTCCAACAGCTGCTGTCTCAGCGCCAACAGCAGGGAATGTGCATGGGCTGGGGCTTTCCAGGGCCTGGCCACAGTGTGTTAAACAAACTATTTATAGTGTTCACATCCCTCCTTGGCAGGAATGGCCTGCGTTACTCCTGCACGGGGGTTGGGTGCTTGGGTGCCACCAGTGTCCCCACCACCAGCACCCTCTGGGGTCCCTGCCAGAAGGGTAAGGTCTCCTCAAAGAAAAGACTCTGGCCACCTCTCATCTTGCTTCCCCACCATTTCTATAAGCTCCCAATGCTATGCCCAGAGCAAGATGTGCAGCAAATCTCATACACCTTGCGAAGAGGTACCAGAGGGCTATGCCCTTCTTCCCAGCATTCCTGCTCTCTGCTAAATCCTTTGGAGCCTTTATCGTGCAACAGCCTCTTTGAGCATGAGCAAGTGCCAATGGCTACTCTGTCCCCTGTGCCTGCCTCTGAGATGGCACTAGGGTCTTGCTGTCCCATGAAGCAGAAATGCTGTTCTGGGAGCAGGCTGAGTGCTGGCAGGTTGCTCATGGGACAACAGCCAGGGACCCGGCCCACTCCCAAAGCCTGCGCCAGCTTTGCCTATTGTCTGACAGGGCACAGGACTGCTCAGAAGACACTCCTTCCACCAACAGGCAGCACTAACCAAGAGGAGTTGTACCAGGAGGAAGCACAGCTGTGTCCAGTCCAAAGGCTGGCATGTCCCACACCCATGACCCTCCAGCTGTGCCTCCTACGAGGTGGTCTCCCAGTGGGTCATCCTCTCCCAGAGGAGACAGAGGCATCGGCTGTCTGGGATCTGTCCAGAGGATGTGTGAGCTGTGAACTCACCCCTGCTCAGCAGCTAGAAGGAAGCTTTGAATAAGCCGAATCTCCAGGGCTTTGGGATGGCAGGGAGAAGAGAGGACAGCTCTACACAGTCCTGCCACCACTCTGAGCACAGACCCCTATGTGGGCTGCTTCCAGCCCTGCTCTCTCATTGCCAGTGCTGCTCCATCCACAGGCTTCCCAGAAACCCACACTGCCCTTTCACTGCCCAGGGACATCTCCTGCTCCTTGTTTGCTGATGTCCAGCTGCTAGCTGATCATCTGAGAGAAGTAAGTGCTATGGAGGGATATACAGTCCCTGTTTGGACTCAGGAAGTGGATCTCAGCCTTTCCCAGCAATTAATAGGGGATACTTGGTTGTGCCATTGGTTGACAAAGAAAACGGATGCCTCCAATGAAGCAGCCGTGACAGGTACCCAGCAAAACAGAAGCCAACCACCTGGTGAATAATTTTGAGCCCTCCTCATGGAGAGGGATAAAGGATAGATAATAAAAAGTGTTGAGAGACAGAGCAGTGACTGCAGGACCAGAAAGTCCTCTGTGGATCAGAGAAGTTACAGCAAGCCTCTAAGTGCCTTGGCCCAGGAAATGCACAGGCACAGGAATCTGCTGCCCTAAATCTTGTGTTTCAAAGTAGATACTGGTGTGATTTCATTTTCTTTTAAGGTTGTATTCTCTTCTCAGCTCTGTGCCTGACTTGACAGAGGAGCAGGTTTATGTCCCTTCACCTCCCTGGGCTGTACTTTTGCCCAACTGTGAATGGAGGCTAAAGACCCTGACCTTCCAGACTCAGCAAAGGTCTCTGCATTTTTGGCAAGAGACAAAAATCTGCCTTTTACAAGTCCCAAGAGCAGTGAAGCCCTGCCCCACCTTTTGCCCAGTGCTGGAATGTTGCAAGCATCTGGCTCTCAAAGCAGGGTGAGAGCCTCATGTGCTCCCTCCCTGGGAAGGAACAGGGTTCTGCAGAGGCCACACACTGGAGTCCCTTTGTTCCCAAGGGATTTGCCGTCCCATCCGTTGTGTACCTCTGCAACATTACACTCACATGCAACATAACACTCAGAGGCAATGCCCCCAGCAATGTGCTGCAACACCTCTGCTGCAACATGTCTGCACTTGGCCAGCACCTCCCCTTCCCCTGTGGGACTGGAGGACAGGATTCCCCCGGCAGGGATGGTAGGATGGTCAGTTCCCCCAGCTCAGGCAGGGCTTTTCCTAGTAAGATGCTCCCAGGCGAATAAGATCTCCACTCTTCTCCATCACTGTGGTCACTAACACTGACCTGGGGTGCTGCACTTTTCATCCCAGTGGTCCCCAGCCTGCACAGAGAGTAAGACACTGCGAGGGCCCACTGCACAGGGAGATGATATTCCCACTGGAGTTGTACTGCTGGGGAAAATCGAGGCACCAAGTGAGGCACTGACTTGCCCCAGATCAGCTGCAGCATAGTGAACCCAAGAGTCTGAAGAGCAGGCCAAGCATTGCACCCACTGCCTCCCTGATCAAAGGGGAGAAGCTCCCTCCCAGGGAAACATAAGCCCTGACACAGCTGCAGCAAAGCTTTGGCTCCTGCTTCCTTCGTCTGAGCTCTTCCCACTCCCCGAACCACCATCAGCATGGGGATGGCGGCAGCACAGGGCAGAGCAGTGCGCCTGCTCCAGGGCCTTCTGACCACGGCAGACCAGGAGCCTGGGAGCCTCCAGGAGGTCAGTCCCAAGGGGCTGACATCAGCCCTGGTCCTTGAAGCTCTGGGGCTGTTGGCAAGCTGTTTCTGGTTTCAGCACATGGTGTCCCTGCGAGGCACAGCCAGCCTGCTTTCCTCATCATGGCTGGCTCCCTGAGAGCAATCTGTGGGGCTGGGAAAGGTCACCCTGGCTGAACCAACCACCCTTGGATGGGACGCACTGGGCACGGGACAGCTTACAGCAG